AAAAGAAAAGAAAAGAAAAGAAAAGAAAAGAAAAGAAAAGAAAAGAAAAGAAAAGAAAAGAAAAGAAAACCCAACAAAAGTAACAGTAATTCAAAATGATGAGACACATACAGGGGGAAAGGCCATGAGCAAGTCCACAACGACAATCTGGGTGTGCTGGTATCTGGTCCCTTCTCAGCAGAAGCCCCCAAAATGCTGCTCCAGTGAACTCGCAGTCCCCGTAGTGCTCTACCTGACAGCGGATCATGACGTGGGTCACTTTGGACTTGCCATCATTGCTCTCCCCTTTGTCGTCACCAGTGCGGACGGAGAGAACGAAGTCTCCAGGGTGGCTCTGGCTCTCTCGGACGAGAAAACTGCCATGCTTACCCTTTTCCGTTAGCAGTTTCTCTGCTTCCTTTCCAGACAAGTGACCATGGAACCACCTGTGGGTTTGAAAAGTAAACAAGCGGAGTTCGGCTGTTGTGGGCAGTATTTCTTCATGTAGCATGCTCAGTCAGCTCTCCTCAACACAGGTTCCTGACAGACAACTTCCCCCAGGGGGCAGAGGGTCTGACCAGAAGAATCTACATCCCAAAAAAGATATGTTATAAATGACAACTACAGTTGGTTTTTCTTTTCTTTTTTAAGATTTATTTATTATGTATACAGTGTTCTGCCTGCACGTACACCTGCTGGTCAGAAAAGGAAACCCATGGTTGTGAGCCACCATGTGGTTGCTGGGAATTGAACCCAGGCTCTCTAAAAGAGCAGCCAGTGCACTTAACCTCTAAGCCATCTCTCCAGCCCCCATTGCTCTTTTTTGAGATGGTCTCACTGTGTGACCCAGGATCACTGTGTAGATCCTCCTGCCTCAGGCTCCTGAGAGCTGGGATTCTAGGCACTGCCACCACACCTAGGCTCCACTAAATCTTTTAAAGAAGCTCAGATTCATTAGAAAAAAATATCTGCCAGAAAAATGGTGGTACATACCTTTAATCCCAGCACTCTGGAGGCAGAGAAGGTGGATCTCTGTGAGTTCAAGGCTAGCCTGGTCTACAGAGTTAGTTCCAGGACAGCCAGGGCTACACAGAGAAACCCTGTCTCAAAAACAAACAAAAACCAATATTCTCAATGCTTCCTATTTACTTTTAAATCTTCCATCTCTTAAAAATACAAGTTGAGGCCAGGCAGTGGTGGCCCACAACTTTAATCCCAGCAGTTGGGAGGCAAGCAGGCAGATCAGTGAATCAAGGCCAGTCTGGTCAACAGGTGAGTTCCGGGACAGCCAAGGCTACACAGAAAAAACTTGTCTCAAAAAAGCAAGCAAACAAAAAATACAATTTGCCTTTTTCACATTTTCAAATTTTTCATGTTTTTCAAGATGCCAGGGTTTTTTTGTTTTTGTTTTTTGGGGTGTTTTTGTTCATTTGGTTGGTTGGTTCATGCTTAACCCTAAAAGGGTCTAAAAGAGTTACAGGCCTGGTTGTGGTAGCACAAGCCTATAATTCATGTGTACTAGTTAGTTTTATGTCAGCTTCATAGACGCTACAGTCATTTGGGAAGAGAGAACCTCAGGTGAGAAACTGTCCCTACTAGACTTGTCTGTGGGCAAGGCTACCGTGCATTTTCTTAATTGATGATTGATGGGAGAGGGGCCCATCTCATTTTTGGCAATGTCATCCTTTGGTTAGTAGTCCTGAGTAAGGTAAGAAAGCAGGCCGAGTAAACCAATGGGGCAGGCCAGTACATAACAGCCTTTCCTGGCCTCTGCATCAGCTCCTGCTTCTAGGTTCCTGCCATGAGTTCCTGTCCTGATAAATTATAAGCTGTAAAATGAAATAAGCCCTTTCCTTCCCAAATTGCTTTTGGTCATGATTTTATCACAGCAATAGAAACCCTGACGGAGACAGCATAGACTGGGGAGTAGAGGCAGAAGATGAGGGGCACAAGGTCATCTTCAGTTACACATCCATCTGGAGGCCAACCCAGCCTGCATGAGACCTGGACTCAAGCAAATAAACAAGTGATGAAAGAGACTAAATCATCATGAATCTGCTCATCTTGGCACTAGAAAAAAAAAAAAAATGATCTGTTATAAATTAATTCAAAGCATTTCAGATTTTTCTCTATTTCCAACCAAATCTTAAATGTCTTTCAATCTGCTGTCTAATCTTCAAGGTACACTAGGTTATCCAGTCCAGCTTTAATGGTATGTATGTTTTGGAACACAGACAGAGGTTTCCCTAACAGTTTGAGTCCTCACAGGCAGAGAGAACAATGCCCACAGGGGACCCAGAAATCTATACTTTAACTAGTGTGCTAGAGAATCTTGCTACAGGCTGTCCAGGGCCATCAAATGGCAAACTCTGAGACAACACAGCTCTTAAGTTGCCACAGAAACATCTTGACAGACATCTAGACAGAAATATAGGAAAGATAATATATCTTTACCCAGAATCTGCAGTGTGAGCAGAGGAGAATGCAGAAGCCAATATCAGGGTATATAAAGTAAACACAAGTTCTCAACCCCAAACAGATGGGAAGAGCGTCACACATTCTCACAGAAAGGCCATTCTCACAGAAACGGACATGCTCACACACTTTAGAGATAATACAAAAAGGCAGAGGAAAAACTAGTCCTTCTGTGCTCTGCTTTTCCACTTCCGGGCTTAGCCTGACCTCTGTCGGTAATGCTGCTAAATAACTGCTCAGAGCCACTGTGGAGCACTACCATTTCAGCATTTCTAGTATCATGTTTTCTCTCCTGACTCTCAAAGCTCATCAGCTGTTGACAAAACTTCCAATTAAAGCACATACTAAGTCTACACGAGGAAGATGTGAGAGCCCTGCAAAATCTGTGCAAGGAACACTGGAGGCAGCTGCTGCAGGAGAAGGGCATTCTGTGACTACTCTGATCCTGTCATTCTTACTTAATAACACCATAAGGCTGGGGAAGCAGCTCAGTGTGTGGAGTGCCTCCCTAGCATGCACCAGGCCTGTGCTCAATCTACAGCACCATACAAGCCAGGCATGGTGAGCATGTCTGCAGGCCCAGCACCCAGGAGGTAAAGGCAAGAAGATCAGGGGTTCAGCCATCCTCAAGTACACCAGGAGTCCCAGGCCACCCAGGGCTATGTTAAACCCCATCACAAACAAAACAAACCACGTTTTAAAATGACAGCATGAGGAGCAAACACCAGACCCAGCCTCTGGATCTATACACCCCACAAACCAGGTTTACAACATGAAGCCTGGAGTGCAGATCTGCGTCACCTAGATGCCACTGACCTTTCAGAGGTAGGGTCTGCACAGTTCAGTGGGTACTTGAGCTCAATAACATCTCCATTCTTCTCTTTCAGCTGCCCGTGATGCTCCATGTAATACTGGACCAGTTCAGCCAAGGTGGCAAACTTTTCCCCGCCATACAGGTCATAGTAGTCTCCTGTGTTCTGAATCTTGATGTGGGTAACGGCTCCATTTCTTCTAAAATAGTCCATTGGGGGAAGGGTGTCAAACAGCAATAGTTGGAAAAGATCTCACATTCAGAGAAGATTTCACCCAAGCACTGAAACAAACCCAGAGAAAAGATTCACCCCACCCCTGAAACTGGAGGTCAACTTACCCCAGCTGACCTATAGCAGCCCACTGTGTCTGCACCTATGCTCTGTGGAGCTTCTGTTTGAATGGCTGACCTATTTTATGGTATAGGTTAAGTGACAAGAATTACTGTCCTTAATAATTAAGGACACACAATTAAAGTTAAGATGAAACACCCACTCACCTTGTCATCCAGCAAATCCACTGCCTTTTACTGAAAGGCAATACAGTTGAATAGGTACCAAAAAGATTTTCAAAAATACACAAGTAAAAAATGGAAATCCAAAATATTTACCACAAAAATGTATCAACAGCCTGGTACCTTGGAAGCTGTGGCAGGAAGACACTGGGCTACACTGAGCAAGACCATTATTTAAAATAAATAATAAATTTTAAAGGCTTGCTTTTAAATCTATACTACCTAAAGAGCACGGTGCTGCACACCTATAGTCCCAGCTCTTGGGAGGCTGCAGCAGAAGCATCAGAAGTTTCAGGTCTGTGCTTGCTTCAGCAGCACATATACTAAAAAAATTGGAATGATACAGAAATTTAAGGTCAGCCTTCGCTGTACAGAGATCATGTCTCAAAAACACAAAACAAAACAAAATACCCAACAACAAAACCAACAGGGCCCAGTGAGATGGGTAAAGGAGATTACCAGCAAACTTGACATGACAACCTGAGTTCAACCCCCGGGACACACACGGTGGAAGGAGAGAAATGACTCCCAAAGCTGCCCTCTGACCTACCCATTCATGCCTTGACACTTGCACACATACACCAAATAAATAAATGTAAAAAATATATTTTTTTAATTAACACATTAAAATTTTAAATGTTTAAAAAAAAAGTCTGAGAATGGTGAGCTGGCTCAGCAAGAAAGCCTGACAACCTAGTCACTGGCAGCCACGGAAACTATGGCAATACGAGGGAACTGACAAGCACACCCATCACGCACAACAATGAACAAGTATTTTCAAGACCTGATGAGCAACAGAGAAGTCTAATATGCACTCCCTGCAGGCAATACTGTCCAGTCATCTGACATCTCTTTACATAAGGGTCAGAATGTGGTTCTAGAGACGCCCTTATTCTCAGAGACAAATGTCACAGTCCCTGCAACTTTCTTCCAAAGGATTTAAGAAGCCCATATGTTTGAGTGTGCCTTTAATCCTACCACAGAGGCAAGTAGATCTCTGTGAATTCAAGGCCACCCTTGTCTATATATTAAGTTCCAGGATAGCCATGGCTACCTAGTAGGCTCTTGTGTCATACACAAAAACACACATATACATAAATGAAAAGATGATCTCTAAGTCTCAGTGGGATTCTAAATAAATTCTCAAGGACATGATTTACTCATCTCTTTACATGAAAAGTAATGTCTATAAAATCAAATCCATACACTTCAGTTTGAACATGGGCATATAGGAAAATGTCATTGAGAAAATTCTCCCATATCTGCATTGTGAGAATGCACTACACTGTCCACAGGATTTAAAACAAACCAAAACTGCCCAATGTCCATCAGTAAAAGAATGGAGAAGCAAGTATGTTGGCATCATCTGACCACCAAGTAGCCATTACAATGAACAGCTAGACGTCCCAACAGGCAACTCAAATAGCACTTCAATGGATACACGAATTACAGTACTCTTAATGCACTGGAAACACAAGAGCTTGCTAGACAGTCAAGTATGCAACACATCAAGAGGATCCATGCCAACCTCTGGACATTGGCTTCCTCTGGGAAATGGAGGAGGGAAAAAGGACTGGGCAGGGGACTAAAGGGAACCACAGCTTCCTCAGAGGTTTTTGATCTTGACAAAGGAAAATGAGGTGAAGAGCCTACAAAGCCAGTTCTCCATGACAAACCCAAAGCAGAAAAGAAAAACCCAGAAAGCAGGTCAGAGGTAAGAAACCAGGACTAAGCCCTGAAAGCTCTGGTTACCTCTCTCTGCCCAAGGTATGCCCAGTCACCACTGTGAGCACAACACCCGCAGTCCTTCCCACTACTTCTCAAGGCTACAACTCTGAGAGACCATAAAAGGCATGGGAACAGGGGCTGTAGAGATGGCTCATCCATTGGGAGCACAGGCTGCTTCCTGAGGACCTGGGTTCAGTTCCCAGCACCCACATGGTGACTTACAAGCATCTGTAACTCCAGTTCCAGGAGATATGATGCCCTCTTCTAGCCTGTGAGGGCACCAAACACACAGCACAGGGTACACATACACACACACAAGCAGAACATTCATACACATAAAATAAAATCTTAAAAAAGGCAGCGGTGGCACATGCCTTTAATCCAAGTTCTCAGGAGGCAGAGGTAGGTGGATCTCTGTGATGCCAGCCCGGTCTACCAAGCAAGTTCCAGGACTGCCAGAGAAACCCTGTCTCAAAAAACAAAATTAAAATAAAATAAGCGTAAGAGTAGGCCAGTGCCCTGACTGGCTCCACAGTGCCTCACACAGGCCTCCAAACTCTGGGGAAGGAGTACGGCAGCAATGTGACCTCACCCTTCTCTGGAAACACCCTGAGTGTCTCTCTTTACCTTCCAACTTACCTAACGGACAGAGTGAAGTCTCCAGGGTTACTCTTACTGGGCCGTGCTAAAAAACTGCCGTCAACTCCTCTGGTCAGCAGGAGATTCTCTGCCTCCACACCAGTGATGTTGGGGTGAAACCACCTTGAAGGAGGAAAAAGGACATTGAGAACCAGAGCACAGATGAGTGTTCTCACACCACCGTGGTGGGGCTTTTGAGCAGTGGCTGACAGCACGCTTCCAGGCTAGTCCTTGCCCTTTCCTGGATGGGATATTGGGGTCCTGCACCCTCAGGCACAGGAGGTGAGAAAGGAGCATGGCCAGGGGGCCTGGGCTGTTTGTCTGTCCCAAATGATCATCCACATGGTCAAGAAAATAGTCTGCATACCAAGAAACCAGACCAACACAAATAAACTACTTCATGACTAAGGACAGGGACTGAGGCTCACAAGAGCCAGGTTCTCATTGCTAGCGAGGGAGAGGAAAGAAGCAGAATACTTTCAGGGTACCAGAATGCAAAGGGAGACACCTGTGTAAACTCAGCTTTCTAATATATATATAGGAATAAATACACAGATATACAAACAGAACAAGTTATTTCCAGAAACTGCCTCCCCACAAAATACTTGTCCCAAAACCAAAACAAAATAAACAAAAACTGATAAACATCCTCGTAGAAAAATTTAACAGCATCTTTTTTTTCTTTCTTTTGAAACAGATGTCACTATGTACCCAGGGCTAGCCTGGAACTTGGGACTCTCCCTCTTCCAGCCCCTAGAGTAAGATCACAGGCACACACCATGTCCACAGCAGACACTATCTTCCTCAGCTGGCAGTGTCACCTGTTACAGATAGCAAGCTGTATGTACATGATGCTGAAAACTGAACCCTCAGCCTCACACACACACACACACAAGCTCTCTACAGACCATTGAACCAGCCACAGCCCCTGTCCCTCTGACCTTTGAGACTTGGCATCGTTGGGGATTTTAATAAGACAAACATGCTTTCATTTGTGGCAGTTCAGGTAAGCAGGAAGTAGGTAGGTCTAGTGGTGTAAGATTATACCTCTGCTACTCAGATCCCAAGTTCAAGGCTTCTAAGTGAGTTCAAAGCCAGCCTGAGCAACACAGTGAGACTCTGTCCAAAAGAACATGTAGAAGGAGCTTGGGTAGTAGATCAGTGGTAATGCATATATGTATTGTACCAGTATGAATCAGTGGTCATGCAGGTATGTACTGTATCAGTACGTATTAATGGTAATGCATGTATGTATTGTATCCGTATGTATCAGTGGTAGTGCATGGTAGTGCCATGCTTGCACAGGCCCCTGAGAACAATCCCGAATACCACAAGGAAAAGGAGGAGATGGCTGAGCATGGTGGCACAAGCCACTAACCCAACGCTTGGAAGTCAGGTGGATCTCTCTGAGTTCCAGGCCAGCAAGGGTGTCATAGTGTGACCCTGTCTCAAGAAGAAAAATAAAGAGAGCAAGGAGGAAAGGAAGAGACAAGACTTGAAGCACGGCTTTCTTTAGACATTCAGTTGAATTAGTTAGAAGTAACTACAGTCAGGGCTGGGAGGTGGCTCAACAGGAAGAGATGCTTGCCACCAAGCCTGAGGATCAGACCCACAGGGGGACCAAGACTCCTGAAGACTGTCCTTTGGGCCCCACACATACATACAAGTAAGTACTTTTAATTGGGTTTCAGAGTCTTAAGCAGCCTGTGCATGTACTTCTCCACGTTCATGCAAGGTAAGAATGTGTGCACATGTGCTGGACATGCTTCCTCCATGTCACCTGCGAGAAACTGAGCACTGCACACTCAGGTGGGAGCCCAACTTTGTAACCTAAAATCTCCCTGTAGGAGCACATTCTTTTTCATGAGTATACAATATTCTACCATACAAATGTGCCACCACAATCAACCCTTTGACATACAAGGTCTATGCAGTTGCTTGTGGTTACTCCTATCAGTGCTCAGGAGGCGGAGACAGGTGAAGCTCTGAGACAGAGGCCAGCCTAGGCAACAAAGCAAGACTCTCTCAGAGAACCAAAAGGACAACCAAGCATGGTAGTGCACACGTACAATCACAGCATTCACGAGGCAGGATAGAAAAATGCAGCCTTGTCTACATAGCAAGTGCCAAGCTAGCCAGGGCTACAATGCCACATCTCACCTCCTAAAGAGAGGGAGGGAGAGAGAGAAGAAAGGAGAAAGAAGGAGGCTGGCCCCATGATAATGCTACACTCATCTTTGGACACGTTCATGTACATAAGTTAGATTCTTAGAAATTAAAACATCCAGTATGATGACTCAAGGAAAAGTGCTTGTTTGCCATTCAAGCCTGGCACTCCAAGTTTGAGCCCCAGAACCCACGTAAAGCTCTGCAAAACCACCCTCTGATCTCCATGCGAACCATGGCATGGAGATGCTCCTCTGCACAGTAATAATAAAAAATTTATCAATCAAATGCTTTAATCTATATAAGTAATTGTTCAGTTTTGTTTTGTCTTGAGACAGGGTTGTACTAACGCCAGGCAACACTGAACTCAAAGATCCCCCTATCTCCAAGAGCACAGCACATGTGACTGGGCCCTGCTTTAAGGAATTCTTTTGTGTGAGGACATGTGTGGTACTGGACTGAACAAGCCTGGCATGTGCTCAACACTGAGCTGTATCCCTAGCCCCTACCTTCTATGGTGACAAAAACTGCCAACTACGCTGAAAAGGCAGACCCTCCACGTGAAACTCCATCCATCTCTTTTTCCAACACTGCATAAATTATCAAGCTGTCTGTGCCTCTGACCAGTGGAAAGTAGTTCTACCTCAATTTGCATCTCTGACACCTTTTCATGTTTCCAGCCTGCCAATTTCCTTCCTGAGCTGTCAGCTTCTCTTACAATTCTGTGTCTGTCTTTTTTTTTTTTTTTTTTTTTTTTTTTTTTTTTTTTTGAGACAGGGCCTCAGGCAAGCTCCGAACTCTATATATAGCTGCAGATGACCTTGAATCTTGAACCTCTGTCCTCACCCCGAGTGCTGGGACTTTTCTCCCCTTTTGAAGTTTTTTCTTTCTAATGTGTAGGAGCTTGTGATATAACCAGGAATTAATCCTTAGCGACAAGAGTGGCAGGTATCTCCTTGCTTTTGTCCCTTCTTCTTTGGCTATTTTTTCCTACAGAAGTTCCTCCTGATGAGTTAGATTTGCCAGATTTCCCATTGTGGGTTCTAACTTTCCTGCCATGCTTAGAGTTGAACCTGAGTGAGTGCTGTCATGCAATGGAAGTGAGTTAATGTAAGGACAGTATTGTGCACAGGCCAGATCAGAAACTCCACATGGAAAGCAAACACTGGTTTTAGTGAAAAGAAAACACTCACAGGCCAGCAAGATGACTCAGTTGGTAAAGGCTCTTGCCCTCACAACTGACCATCCCCAGAACCCACATAGTGAAAAGAGAAAACAGACTCCCACAAGTTGTCCTCAGACTTTCACAAGTGTGTCCTGGCACCCATGTGCCCTCCTCCAAACACACACACACACAAATAAGTAAATAAATAAGGCCAGTGAGACAGCTCAGGGGTTAAAGCACTACTGCCAATCCTGGCAATCAAAGTTAGACTCCTGGAACCAACATGGTACAGGGAGAGAGCCATCTCTTGAATGCGGTCTTCTAACCACACCCAGGGACAGACAAACACACTCCCTTTCTCTCATTCATAAAATAAGAAAGCAAAATTTTAAAGTAAATAAAAGTAATAAAAATTTTTAATAAAAAATTTAAAAGAAAACACAGTAAAGTCACAGGTATTAATGGGGTCCTACTGCCTTTTGTGCTCTGGTAACATCTATCATGTCCCTGTCCTGTGTGGCCTCTGAGCATGCTTTTCCTCTGCAGCTCCAGTCAGATACCCTTTTCAATGAGCCCCGAACTTCCCCTGGGTGATACATGGCTCAGTGCCTAGTCCAGATCTCCACAGCTGCCACACTCAAGGCTGAACTGGGAACTCCATGAGGCGGGGAACTAAAGATGTGTCTACTTCTTTTTGATGGACTCCAAACTCCTGCAAAGGCCTACTTAGCAACGTGATCCTAGCTAAGGGCTAGCACACAGCAAGGTATTCCCAAGTCAGAACCTCATTTTGTAGCCTAGAAGGCCCTGTAACCCCAGTCTTCCTGTCTCAGTCTCCTCAGTGCTAGAAGTGCAATACTCAATGGAGCCAGTGGTTCTACCTGATGGCAGAGAATGGATATTGATTCTAATACATGCAGCTGACAAAGCAAGGTCCCATCTACAGGCTCCTGCAGAAACCAGAATTTGAACACTCAGCCAGGTGTGGTGGCAAAGTTGGGATGTGAAGATCAGGAGGAATTCAAAGCCAACCTCAGCTACATAAAATATCTAAGGCCAGGTTGGGCAACATGAGATCCTTTCTCAAAACACAGATTTAGAAAGTGACTATCTAAGGACTCAGCCTAAGCTAAAAGCTTGTTCCAAAGCCTCTCTCACTAAGAATATCAAATTTCCACATTTTCATTAGCATCGCTGGTAGAGAGACCGATTCTTTGCTGCTGCTGCACCAGCATCCTAACAGCACCAGACCCAGTTTTGTCCCAAGCCCAGCTTTGTAAAGCGGTATATATACAATATATATACAATACAAATTTAAAACAACAGGGCCAAGGTTCTTTCCACACAACAAGCAGCTGAAATGGACCGCATGGTGAAAAGCACCAGACAGCCGCCCTGGCAAAGCAAAGTTCCTCCAACATAACTGGGAAGGTCTACCTTGCTCACAGAACAGGAAAGACCCGAGTCGTAACAGCTCTCCAAAGGTCAATACAGATATAGGAGATAAACTTCACTTTTGACCTTGAACTATGAAAAGTAAGCCATTATTTCTACTAAGCACATTTAATAATAAAAAAATTACGTATTTTAGAATTCCCTTCCGTAAAGCCAAGAAAAACATGTAGTTTAAAAATACGCATTTTCATTTAACATAAGTTGTGTTTTTATAAACATAAAATATACAAAATAAGGCTGAAATGCTGGATTATCCTTCTGGGTCTAAACACTCAGGAAAGAAAGGAGAGGAAAGAATGCAGTTCTGGAGTTTGAGTTGTTTTTGTTTGGAGGACTA